TGGTTATTTCAGCCTGTCAGCATTGGCTTTCAAATCCAAGATGCTTATATACCCTGTGGTGGACTACCTAATAACTGGCGTCCAAACGAAACTTTCTCTGAAAATCTGTTCCAACAGTAGAGGGGGCACACAGAGACATACCATTTAATCCCTGATGTCTAATAAACTTGTTAATGGGAAATCCCACTCGTGGGTCTAAGGAAATGGGTGCAGTGTAGGACCTAGATATCTCATTAGACTGCTGAGGGTCGTTGTGTTAAGAAACAATGCTCATGACAATGAAGATTATTGCGTACTTAATGGATGAAAGACAAATCAAGGATGGAATACGAGTGGGTAGCCAAGAACGACAATCATCTTTTGTACGTATGTGCGTTGATAGTGCTGTGCTCTCTTGCTAGGTGCGTTTACAAGATCCTCTTCCTGATCAGTTGAAAAAGCAGTGTTCATTATGAACCCCAACAACGGGCTGGTGTTGATTGTGCCCAGTTGTGCACGAGAGTCTGGGAATGGGTGTTGGGTTGTGTTGTGAACTATGGTGATGCCAGCTGCTTTTACATGACTGTGAGGCTAGTTCAAGTGGTTTACTATTGGGAATGTTGCGTGTAGGAGTCCTTGCTGCATTAGCCGAAGGATGGCATATTCAAGTGGCCCTTAGGCTGGCGCGCTTATTTGGACGCGTGTGTATGCACACAAGTGTGTGAATAAGCTGAGGTCAACTCTGGGTGCCGCCGAACTTTGGCGGAAGGCCTGATAGTCAGCCGGATTGTCTTGGCCGTCAGGATGCTGAAGGACAGGGGACACTGACGCAGCTGTTATCATTTAGCCAGAAAACGAGCACTGAAGCAACTGCGAGGTCAAGCCTCGGGGGACGGGAGCGCCGATGAAAGAAAGTATTGGAATAGTTGCCTGTGACGCTACACGACCTTGGGGCAGCGAGCATTGGAGAACGAAGGGGGAAGGCAGTGTTGGCTGTCCCCACACATCTTTCGACTCAGTAGAGGATCTGCTTTCTACAAGCGGAGTCTCAACTGGATGATCAAGTTAACTGTCCTCTTACGATAGTGGTTAGATGTAA